TGCTTATTTCCTTACTATATGAAAACTATATAAAAGTTCTTACAGATCAAAAACGAAAAAGCATACAATTCAAAAGAAAAATGGGCAAAAAATATAAACAGGCAGTTCACAAGAAAAGAAATACAAATGGCCAAAAAAAAAGACAAACTTTCTCAAGAAATGCAAATTAAAAAAAAAAAAAAGAAATGCAAATTAAAATCAGACATAATTTTCACCAGCAAAAAAGTAAGATGTTTTAGAAAACCCAGTTTGGGGCCAGAAAATAGAAATGTAAATTAATACAACTTCTCTGAAGGGCAATCTGACAATACTTACCCAAATTTTCAACTCACAACTCATTGACTCAGCAATTTCAATTCCAGGAATTTATTTTCAAAATGTACAGGAACGACTTTACAAAGATGTACAAAAATCACTGCTGCAGCATTTTTGAAATAACAAAAACTGAAAACAACCTAAATAGCCAGCATTAAGATACAGTAATATACATACGTAACATATATGTTCATATACTGTAAAACTTTCCTGAAAAATATTCAAGAAACTCCCATCAATGCATACCACTGAGGTGTAAGACCTGGAAACAAGAGTAACACCTGGAAAAAAACCTTTCATCATATATCCTTCCGTACAATTTCTATTTATTTTTAATATCTGCATGCTTTTATAATTTTCAACAGTTCATAATTTTAATATATTTTTAAAACCTTCCTCAGAATACACAGTAGTTCAAAATGAACTTATTATCTGGTTATGGAATAAGGGATGAGTCCAAGACTAGGGGACAGACAGGTCTTGAACATAATCCTTATTTTTTAATATACAAGAAAAAATAAAACAATGAAAGTCTAACAAAATGTGCAGTGCTTAGTTATATCTGACTCTTTGCGACCCCATGGACTGTAGCCTGCCAGGCTCCTCTGTCCATGGGGATTCTCCAGGCAAGAACACTGGAGTGGGTTGCCATGCCCTATTCCAGGGGATCTTCCCAACCTAGGGATCGAACCCAGGTCTCCAGCATTGAAGCCAGATTCTTTACCATCTGAGCCACCAGGGAAGCCCGCAAACAAAATGTGAATAACTGCCAAACTGGGCTCACTGACATATTACCTTTTCACTTTTCTATAATTTTTTATATCTTTCAGAATTAAGTATCATTAAGAGAAACACAACCATTAAAAAAAAAAATCCTTCCAGACCTCCCTGGTGGGCAGTGTATAAGAATTCACCCGTGGATGCAGGAGACATGGGTTCTGTCCCTGGTCCGGGAAGATTCCACATACTGTAGAGCAATTAAGCCCCTACAATACAACTACTGAGCCCCACTGTAGAGCCCTCAAGCCACAACTACTAATCCCGCATGCTGCAACTACTGAGGCCCAAGCACCTAGAGCCTGTGCTCCACAACAGGAGAAGTCACTGCAACGAGAAGCCCATGCACCACAACAAAGAGTAGCCCCCACTAGCTAAAACATGAGAAAGCCCCCACAAAGCAACAAAGACCCAGTGCAGCCAAAAATAAATAAACAAATATATATAAAATTATTATTTTTTTAATCTTTCCTTAACCCCACATCCCTCTCCAGCTCCTGCCAGTTCTCTCTCCTTCCATTCAAAAACAAACTTCTTAAATGTATTGTCTGTAACAGCTTTCTCTAACTCCTGAATTCCCATTTTGTCAACGCAGTTGATTTTCACAACTGACCTCACCACACCTACACAGATACTACTCTCCCTAAGGTCACTTCTATGTTGTTAAAACCAAGGGATATCAATTAGTCTATATCTTTTGGAAGCCACTCTCAGCAGCACACAGCTGAAACTGGTTAACCACCCTCTCCTTCTTAAAGCACTATCATTTTGGTTGCCAACCTGGCTATACCATCTCCTACCACGCTGGCCTCCCTTTTCAAGCTCATTAGCCATCTCTCTCACCCTCTACCCAATTGTTTAATGTTGGAGTTCCCCAGGGCCTGATCCTTGGGCCTCTTCTCTATTTGTGTTCCCTGAATAGTCTAATTCATTCTCAAGAAAAATCAACAGTATGATGACTTTCAAATTCAGTTTCAACCCAGACCTATATTTTGAGCTCAAGATCAGTGTCACCAGTGGACTACTCAGTATATTTTCCTCATAAGCATTCCAACTTGACATATTCAAACACCAGACTCAGATTCTTACCCTACAAATTGTTCCATTTAAGGCAGTATATTCAAAACAAGTATGTAGAATATTTATTTATTATAGTGGAAACATATTCACCATAGATTAAGTGGAGGAAAAAAGCAGATTATGAGGCATTATATATAATTTGTTCCCATTACTGCAAGACAAAAAAATACATATATACACACAGAGACAGAAAGAGAAAGAGAAAAAGCTAGAATAAGATCTGGTAGGATATACACCAAAATGTTAAGCAATAATTTCTGGAGGATAGGATAGGATTACAAGTGATTTTTATTTTCTTCATCTCCTTCAGTTTCTTCGTGTGTGTGTGTGTGTGTGTGTGGTATTTATTTTCAATATTCTCTAAAATGCATGCTTTTCGCTTTTATGATCTGATTTTCTTAGCTCTTTTTTCCTTTCCTGATAGGATATGATATAAAATTCAGAGCATCAATTATTAAGTTTTCTTGCTAAAACTATTTAATTTAAATCTAGTAAAAATTTTAGATCTAACTTCCAGTTTGCAGGAAGGGGACAGAAGAACATGTCATAAAATACCACAAGGAAATAATCAGACAAATTAAAAAGCAAGGACATTCTATAAATCAAACAGTCTAGCCTAATCAAAAAGCATCTGTTGCAGAAATAAAATAGTGAAAGAACTGTTCTATATTAAAGGTGACATTATAGCAAAATGCAAAGCATGACCCTTCTTTGGGCTCTTGATTATAAACAATCTCATAAAAGACTTTTGGGGGACACCCAAGGAAGTAGATAGAGTATTAGATGACACTGAGACATTATTATTAACTTTCTTCAAGGAGATAATGCTATTGTGGTTCTTTAATAGAATGGAAAGAATATCCTTGTTTTTAGAAATGCATGCTTAAGTATTTACGGGTGAAGCATCATAACATCTGATCAAGAAAGCTGAAACTGACAAAATGTTAACCATAGCTGAATTTCCGTGACGGGTCTAGAAGTGTTCATTATATTATTCTTGGGGAAAAAATTATTTCTTACAACACTGTAAGTTTTCAAATGGCAAGGACCAAATAATCTTAATTTTGTACCCCCAGCATCTAAAATGCAGCCTAGTCCAATAAATATTTGTTGAGAGAATGAATAAATAAAAAGAAGAACATATTTTGAAAGGTTGGGCTTTAGGCCTGGTGGAAGTGGTGATTCTCTACACATTGCTGCCATTGTCTGAAATAATTAACAGACGTAAAACTTATATCGTGCATGGCACATAATAAGCACTCAGTAAATATTAGTTCCATTCCTTACTTCCATCCTTTTATTTCTGATACTTTTTTTTGGCACATGGGCTTGTAGGATCTAATATAGTTCCCCAACTAGGTATCCAAATCATGCTCCCTACAGTGGAAGTGAAGATTCCCTGTTTCTGATACTCTTTAGTCATATTACAGATGTCATTATCTAATGGCTGCTTTGAACTCTGTCACATAATAAAGTAAAAATGGCAAGTAATAGGATTGAAACATTGAAATTCATTGAGTTAACCAGATTGAGTGGATTTATTTTGGATAAAATCCTGTAGAAAAAGCCTTAGCCTGGTAGATAATGGACATGAAAGACAGGTCTGGAATAGTAGCAAAAATAATAATAAAAACAGGTTTTTTAAAAAACATTTTTGAGGCTCGCTCGCTCTCTTTCTGCCGCCATCTTGGTTCCGCGTTCCCCGCACAAAATGCCCGGTGAAGCCACAGAAACCGTCCCTGCTACAGAGCAGGAGTTGCCACAGCCCCAGACTGAGACAGGGTCTGGAACAGAATCTGATAGTGAGGAATCAGTCCCAGAGCTTGAGGAGCAGGATTCTACACAGGCAACCACACAGCAAGCTCAGCTGGCAGCAGCAGCTGAAATCGATGAAGAACCAGTCAGTAAAGCGAAACAAAGCCGGAGTGAAAAGAAGGCACGGAAGGCTACGTCCAAACTGGGCCTTCGACAGGTTACAGGGGTTACTAGAGTCACTATCCGGAAATCTAAGAATATCCTTTTTGTCGTCACAAAACCAGATGTGTACAAGAGCCCAGCTTCAGATACCTACATTGTTTTTGGGGAAGCCAAGATTGAGGATTTATCTCAGCAAGCACAGTTAGCAGCTGCTGAGAAATTCAAAGTTCAAGGTGAAGCTGTCTCAAACATCCAAGAAAACACACAGACTCCAACTGTGCAAGAGGAGAGTGAAGAGGAAGAGGTTGATGAAACAGGTGTGGAAGTTAAGGACATAGAATTGGTCATGTCACAAGCAAATGTGTCTAGAGCAAAGGCAGTCCGAGCCCTGAAGAACAACAGTAATGATATTGTAAATGCTATTATGGAATTAACAATGTAACCATCTGAAAAGAGGACCTTTTTCTGGTGTTTCAAAAGAGTAACTGCAGCTGGGTTTGAAATTTGTACTGTTTCTATCATTAATAAAGTTATGGCTTCTTGTTGGATGGAAAAAAAAAAAACATTTTTGAGCACTTTATATGTTTTACCTCACTGAATCTTCAAATAATTCACTGTAGTTTGTACTATAAATTCCCCTCATTTTTTAAAGTGAGAAAACCAAGTCATAGAGAGGTAGTTAAAGGTCACAGAACAGTATGTGGTAGAGCTGGAAATCTAAACCTACAATAGAACTCTTGCTCTTAACCCACAATTTATGTTCTTGCTCATTGTCCAATTCCATGTGAGGGGTAGGACTTGGTCCTGGCCAATCTTCCCAAAGATATATTTGGCAACTTTTCACACAAAATTATACTAGTGCTAGAGGGTCACTTAAACCAACTAGACCACATCAGGAAATAACTGCTTACCTGCAGAACAGATGGGATTCTCTCCTGAAGTTCTGAACCTAAAAAGAGGGAGAAAGCATGTTTAGTACAGTTAGATGTGCACATTTTATTTGCACAGCTACCAAAACTTGTATGCTCCTCATTATAGATATGTCCATACTACACTTTTCCTTATGCTATCCTTCTCTTCTTTCCATAAATATTATTAAGTACTTACTATAGGTCAGACAATGTTTTAGGTCCTGAAGATGCAAAAGTAAGTAAAACATCTCTATCTGGTCTAGCTGGTAGAGAGACGAGTAAAGAGATGTGAGCCACAACATAGTCCTGGTACAGAGCAAAAACACATACAAGATTTAGTGGAATATACAGGAAAGTGTGATGATTTCCACCAGGGGATGAAACTACTGGAACTGAGTTTTTAAAAACAAAGAACTATTCTCAATTGTTTAGCCTTACAGAAAAAGCATTCTAGGCAGAGATATGAAAGTAGTATATCTGGGGAACAGCAAGCTCGTGGGTGTGAGTGGCACTTCAGCTGCAGGGAAGTGGGCAGGGCAAAAGAGGTAACCAGGGACCAGGTTATACCAGGTTATGAAGACCTCATAACAGGTGGTAAGGAGCTTGGTCTTTGCTCTGTGTAGGCAGTGGGAAGCTCCTGGCAGAGTTTAAACACAAAAGTGATGTGATCAGGTTTAAGTTTTGGAAAGTTACCTTTGGAAAGTAACCAGGGTTACCTGGTGAGTAATGAATGGGAAGAAGTGAAACTTGAGAGAAGAGAAACCACCAGGCAAGTGGTTCTTACAATAGCCGTGCGTTATTAGGACACATTTCACAAGTAAGGCTGATGGGGTTTGTCCAGGAATTAGATGCAGAGTAAGAGAAACAATAGTAGCAAGAATGATTCCAAAGATTCTGTCCTGTGCAACTAGATAATTGGAGTTGTCATTTACCGAGAAATGGGGAAGGAGTAAGATGGCAGGGGAGTTAATGCTTGAGATGCTTAAGAAACATGTAAGGGGAGATGATGAAAGAAGAATGCTGTGTGAACATCCTACAGGGATGCAAATATTAGCTGTATTTAATTACTGTTACCTTACCTCATGAGGGAAATATCCTTACCTCAAGAGGGAAAAGGCTTGCTTAAAAATGGTGTCATTCTTCAGACACAGCACCTATAGCAAAACAACCACATTAGACCAACCATAGGCATTCACAGACCTCCAAGTACCTCTTCACAGAGGCTAGAAACCCACAGTACACAAACCAAAATAAAACCCAAGTCTCTTGTCTAGCAAAGAAGCTTCCCTACAGTTAATACCAAACATGCAGGCAAACCAAGGCTTTGTTCTTTCCTATTTCACCCACTACAGAAAATGCTGGAAAAATAGAAGCCCCCCCTTTTAGGGGCTGCTTTTTAAAATTCACCCTATTTCCCCTTTCTAATTAGATTTATATTTTCTAATATCAACAATCATTATGCATGTGTCAAGCACAGGCACCATGCAAGGGACTTTCTGAATTCTAATGCTCAAAACACTGCAAGGCAATCCTACAGGTGAAGCAACTAAGGCCCACAGAAGTTATATGCCAAGAAATTACAGCTAACAAGTAGCTAAAATGACTGCTTTACTCCAAAGACTATGTCTCTATTATAGCATACTCTCTTTTAATAGTAACAATAATAACAACTATACCAACATGAACAAAATAATGATAATGAAAGGAGGTAGCTGCAGTGGCAGCTTCCCTTCCTGATCTTACCCCTAATAAGCCAGTCATTCCCATCTCACTCTGCCCTGCTGGCACTCACTCAAAAGATCACTGGTATCGCTTTACTAAAGTAGTCCTTAAAGAGGAGGTCTTTGCATAAAGTAACTGGATAATAAGTAATAAATGGCCTTAAGGTTCCATAACATAAAGAGAAAATCTTGTCCACTATGATAACAATTTCAACTCCTTCAACATATATGTGTTAGAAGCCCATTATGTGTAAAAGCCTTCAGAAACAAAGGGAAGTCTGAGAAACTGTCATAGACAAGAAGAGTCTAAGAAGACAGACTAAATGTAATATACTAGGTAGGATCCTAGAACAGAAAAAGGACCCTGGATTTCTTTTTTTTTTTTTGACCCTGGATTTTTAAAAAATGAAGGAAATATTAGTAAAGCATGGACTTGATAATAATATATCAATATCAGTTCATTAATTATAAAAAGTATACCATACACATATAACAGGGAAAATTGGATATGGCGTATATCCAATACTGTCTTTGCAACTTTGCTGTAATTCTAAAACTATTCTAAAGTCTTGTTTTGCTTTTTTGGCTGTGCTGCATGGTACGTGGGATCTCAGTTTCCCCACCAAGGGATCGGACCCCTGCCCCCTGCAGTGGAAGCACAGAATCCTAACCACTGGACCGCCAGGGAAGTCCTCTAAAGTTTATTTTTTAAAAGCCTAATAGGTGCCAACTGTTGTGGTGACTATGAAAGGGACTATAAGAACAAAATGCAACAATATGAATGAACTTGGAACTATTATACTAAATAAAAGAAGACAGTCACAAAGGGCCAGTATTGTATGACTCCATTTATATGAAATATCCAGAATAGCAAATTTATAGAAAAAGAAAGACTAGTGGATGCCTTGGGTTGGGGAGTCTGGGAAGCTGGGGATGACAACTAAGGGATATGGGACATCTTTGGGACTTCTTTCTGGGGTGATAAAAAAGTTCTAAAATTGCTTGTAGTGACGGTTACACAACCCTGAATATATTAAAAGTCATTTGGATGCAGGTTGGATGCATGAGACAAGTGCTCGGGCCTGGTGCACTGGGAAGACCCAGAGGAATCAGGTGGAGAGGGAGGTGGGAGGGGGGATCGGGATGGGGAATACATGTAAATCCATGGCTGATTCATGTCAATGTATGACAAAAACCACTACAATATTGTAAAGTAATTAGCCTCCAACTAATAAAAATAAATGGGAAAAAAAAATTAAAAAAAAAAAGTCATTGAATCATACACTTTAAATGGGCAAATTGTATGGTATATGACATATCTCAATAAAGCCTTTTTAAAAATGTAAGCACGACCCCCATTTTATAGGAATTTGAATGGCTAAAGATATGAACACACATTTGTATTAAACAGCTAAGTAATACCACAGCATCATATGATTAAGTCAAAATAGGTGGCACAAACAACTGATACCCCTAGCAAGAAATCTGGGTGTTAATGGCAAGAAGTTCTCTAGCTTTGGAGATGTTACAGATATTGCTGAGAATCTGCCCAAAGTCATGAACCTTCTCCCCAGACATACATAGACACAAATATACAAAAGGCTGCATACTGAGTACAGAGAATTATATTCAAAATCTTTAAAAACCTATAATGGAAAGGAATCTGAAAAAGAATATGTATATATTAATATATACATATAACTGAGTCGCTTTGCTATACACCTGAAACATGGTAAACCAACTATACTTCAATTTTTTTAAATGCAGAAAAAAAATGCAGGATGTAGAACCAAATAAAGTGAGGGAGGAAAAAAAGTCTGTATTCTACTTCAAGAGATTCACTTAAACTCTTAATATCCCCCACAGACCACTATGCTAAAACAAGAGATCCTCAAAGGCAAGAGTCATGTCATCTTCCTCTCAGGCACACTGTTGTTTTATTTTATTTATTTATTTTTTTTGAAGTCCTTCAGTCAAGTCCAGCTCTTTGCAAATCCATGGACTACAGCCTAGTAGGCTCCTCCGTCCATGGGATATTCCAGGCAAAAATACTGGAGTGGGTTGCCATTTCCTTCTCCAACACTGTTGTTTTAATAAATAAATAAATGATTAGGAAGAAGTGAATAACTGCTAATCATTGCTACTATTTATTACTACCCACATCTATTTTGTTGAGCACCTATCGTGTGTCTAAATCATAATTTCATTACCAGATAAGTATTACTATCCCATTTTACAGCTGGGGAAACTGAAATTAAGTATGATTAAGTAACTTTAATCGTAACAAAGTCAAACAGCTACTATCAGAACTAGCATAGGATATTAGGTTTCTGACTCCAAAGCCTGTAATTTTCCCCTATTCTACACCCTCTCTCCCATAAATGAAGGTGTTAGTGCTTAGGAAATCAGGAGGGAAGAGTTCAAATTTAGGAAAAGTCTCCCAGAGAATGTGAGGTCACGAAGATTGGGATATGAATAAGTAGAAGGAAGGACAAAGTATATAGACTATCCTAAAAATGACAATTAAATCAGATACTAAAAGACTCTGTAAACATGTGTACAACATTCTTAACCTAATGTTGACCAGCATAAAAGAGCAGTCACAGGGCCTCCGGCTGGTTACCCCACCACTGGCCACCATACCTTGGTCAGTAATTTTCCCCTCTCTGGAGTTAGAGCCAATTACTCTAAGGTCCCTCCAGGGCCAAGATCTATCAACCACGACAAACAGAACAGAAATCAGAGTGAACAGAATGTATTCTTAAATGGATCACTTCATACAGAAGAGGTACTGGATGGGAAGAAAGATCTAGATAAGACTGATCTTTCCTCACTTTAAATGTTCAGATTTCTGAGTCTCCACAACAGCTATGAATTTAATTATCTAAAAGCCAACCCTTTTTAATGGTGAACAACTGTCTGGAAGACAACCAAATTATGGCATGAACTCTTCCTTTCAGCTCTGGGAAATGTGCTTCCTCTTCCCTACAATGCTTGGCATTATTTATCAGGACAAAAGCAATCTATTTTGGGACTGTGTCCACAAATACTCTCTCTCCCCAGTCAGCAAAGGAAGAACAGCTCCATCTCTGGAGCAAATGGAAGAGGAGGCCAGTGACTCTAGTGAATGAATGAATGAGGACATAGATGCCCCAGCGGGTTACAAAAACACTTGTCCCATAAGCTTGGGAGTCAGGAACCAGGAAAGGATTACACAGTGACTTAAGAACCAGTCATGGGGCAAAATCTATAGTGTGTGAGTAGCTTCAGACACCACAGTCCTGGGGTGGGTGGTGACAGAAGTGGGTAAGGGTCCTATGAGGCAAGCACCTGAGAGCTGTTCTATGAGTATTAACAGAATATATTTGTATACTAACAGATATTACTTAAAATAGCATTGTTACTATCACTTACAGAGTAATCCTTTGTTCTAAGCACTTTGCTCAATTTTTCGTCAATCTTCTAATAGAGGCATCGAAATAACTGCCATTTTTTATAGAGGAAAAATATAATTTATATAATGATGTCCTTTTCATTATAGGGGACTGGAATGCAAAAGTAGGAAGTCAAGAAACACCTGGAGTAACAGGCAAATTTGGCCTTGGAGTACAGAATGAAGCAGGGCAAAGGCTAATAGAGTTCTGCCAAGAGAACGCACTGGTGATAGTAAATACCCTCTTCCAACAACACAGGAGAACACTCTACACATGGACATCACCAAATAGTCAACACCAAAATCAGACTGATTATATTCTTTGCAGCCAAAGATGGAGAAGTTCTATACAGTCAGCAAAAACAAGGCTGGGAGCTGACTATGGTTCAGATCATGAACTCCTTATTGCCAAATTCGGACTTAAATTGAAGAAAGTAGGGAAAACCACTAGACCATTCAGGTATGACCTAAATCAAATCCCTTATGATTATACAGTGGAAGTGAGAAATAGATTTAAGGGACTAGATCTGATAGACAGAGTGCCTGATGAACTATGGACAGAGGTTCGTGACACTGTACAGGAGACAGGGATCAAGACCATCCCCCAAAAAAAAGAAATGCAAAAAAGCAAAATGGCTGTCTTGAGGAGGCCTTACAAATAGCTGAGAAAAGAAGAGAAGCTAAAGGCAAAGGAGAAAAGGAAAGATAAACCCATTTGAAGGCAGAGTTCCAAAGAATAGCAAGGAGAGATAACAAAGCCTTCCTCAGTGATCAATGCAAAGAAATAGATGAAAACAATAGAACAGGAAAGACTAGCGATCTCTTCAAGAAAATTAGAGATACCAAAGGAACATTTCATGCAAAGATGGGCTCAATAAAAGACAGAAAGGGTATGGACCTAACAAAAGCAGAAGATATTAAGAAGAGGTGGCAAAATACACAGAAGAACTGTACAAAAAAGATCTTCACAACCCAGATAATCACGATGGTGTGATCACTCACCTAGAGCCAGACATCCTGGAATGTGAAGTCAAGTGGGCCTTAGGAAGCATCACTACAAAGTTAATGGAGGTGATGGAATTCCAGTTGAGCTATTTCAAATCCTCAAAGATGATTCTGTGAAAGTGCTGCGCTCAATATGTCAGCAAATTTGGAAAACTCAGCAGTGGCCACAGGACTGGAAAAGGTCAGTTTTAATTCCAGTGCCAAAGAAAGGCAATGCCAAAGAATGTTCAAACCACCGCACAATTGCACTCATCTCACACGCTAGCAAAGTAATGCTCAAAATTCTCCAAGCCAGGCTTCAACAATACGTGAACCATGAGCTTCCAGATGTTCAAGCTGGTTTTAGAAAAGGCAGAGAAACCTGAGATCAAATTGCCAACAACCACTGGATCATCAAAAAAGCAAGAGAGTTCCAGAAAAACAACTACTTCTGCTTTATTGACTATGCCAAAGCCTTTGACTCTGTGGATCACAATTCACTGTGGAAAATTCTTCAAGAGATGGGAATACTAGACCACCTGACCTGCCTCCTGAAAAACTTGTATGCAGGTCAGGAAGCAACAGTTAGAACTGGACATGGAACAACAGACTGGTTCCAAATAGGAAAAGGAGGACGTCAAGGCTGCATACTGTCACCCTGCTTATTTATTGTATGCAGGGTACATCATGAGAAACACTGGGCTGGAGGAAGCACAAGCTGGAATCAAGATTGCCAGGAGAATTATCAATAACTTCAGACATGCAAATGACACCACCCTTATGGCAGAAAGTGAAGAACTAAAGAGCCTCTTGATGAAAGTGAAAGAGAAAAAAAAAAAAAAGAAAGTGAAAGAGAAGAGTGAAAAAGCTGGCTTAAAGCTCAACATTCAGAAAACAAAGGTCATGGCATCCAGTCCCATCACTTCATGGCAAATAGATGGGGAAACAGTGGAAACAGTGACAGACTTTATTTTTTGGGGCTCCAAAATCACTGCAGATGGTGACTGCAGCCATGAAATTAAAATACGCTTACTCCTTGGTAGGAAAGTTATGACCAACCTAGATAGCATATTAACAAGCAGAGACATTACTTTGCCAATAAAGGTCCGTCTAATCAAGGCTATGGTTTTTCCAGTAGTCATGTATGGATGTGAGAGTTGGACTATAAAGAAAGCTGAGTGCTGAAGAATTGATGCTTTTGAACTGTGGTGTTGGAAAAGACTCTTGAGAGTCCCTTGAACTGCAAGGAGATCCAACCAGTCCATCCTAAAGGAAATCAGTCCTGTATATTCATTCAAAGGACTGATGCTAAAGCTGAAACTCCACTACTTTGGCCACCTGATGCAAAGAGCTGACTCATTTGAAAAGACCCTGATGCTGGGAAAGACTGAAGGTGGGAGGAGAAGGAGATGAAAGAGGATGAATTGGTTGGATGGCATCACTGACTCGACGGACATGAGTTTGAGTAAACTCCAGGAGTTGGTGATGGACAGGGAGGCCTGGCGTGCTGCAGTTCATGTGTCAGAGTCAGACACAACTGAGCAACTGAACTGAACTGGACTGATACAGGAAAAAAAACAAAAGCTTTTAAGTTGCCAAAGTTTTAGGTTTGGTAAGACATGCCAAGAATTCAAGCCAATCTAACTCCAGAGTCCATGTTTTTCATTCTGGTGTGTGTTTGTGTACATGTGTGCTCAGTTGCTCAGTGGTGTCTGACTGTTTGCAACCGAACTATAGCTCACCAGGCTCCTCTGTCTATTGGATTTTCCAGGCAAAAATACTGGAGCAGGTTGCCGTCTCCTACTACAGGGGATCTTCCTGACCCAGGAACTGAACTCACCTCTCTTGTGCTTCCTGCACTGGCAAGCAGATTCTTCACCACTATACCACCAGGGAAGCCCATTCTGCCATACTATCTCTCAAAAACACAATAGCAATTAAGAGCAGCAAAATTCATATAATAATAATAGCCTAAACAGTTCTACCATTTTTTGAGTACTTGCTATATGCCAAACATCATTTCCATTAACCCTCACAACCATTCTATGAAGCAGGTATTTATTTATTTATTTATTTATTTATTTTTTGAAGCAGGTATTTATACTCCCATTTTACTGTGAGGAAACCAAAGCTCAGAAAGATGAATTAACGTGCCTGATGCACATAGCTAGTAAGTGATGTTTGAGCTGACCTTTTCCTAAGTTCTTTCAAAGTTGCTTTTGTTTGTAGTTTTTCCTTTGGTCATTCTTCTGAATATGTATAATATGGTGACTATCAAAGCCTGTCTTTGCACTGAGTCTTCATAGCAGTTAGAAACACAAATTAGAGATTCATACAGACCTGGGTTTGAATATCAGCTCCTCTGAGTTACTAGCTGTATGATCTTTGGCACGTCTCTTAAAAAATATTTGTCCTCACATACTATATGATTTCATTTATATGAAAAGAGCCAACTTGTTGGAAAAGACCCTGATGATGGGAAAGATTGAAGGCAAAAGAAGAAAGGGACGGCAGAGGATAAGATGGCTAGATATGATCACTGACTCAGTGGATATGAATCTGAGCAAACTCGGAGACAGGGGAGGACAGAGGCTGGCCTGCTACAGTCCATGAGACTGCAAAGAGTCAAACTTGACTTAGTGATGAATAATATCAGCAACTTTAGGCCAAGTATACTGTAGACTGGGGACATACAAACATGAAGAAAATACAATTGCCCACCCACAATCCTTCTAATGAGGAAAGCTGATGTGCAAATTACTTATTATACTGCAATGAGAGATCAGTATAATGGGCTGCACAGGTCACAAAGAAATGAAGGACTGACTGCTGGGAAGATCAAGGAAGGTTCTCATTCCTCATTTCACACATGAAGGAAACCAAGATTATTATCAAATTAGGGAGATGTAAAATACTCAGAAAAGTAAAGGCAGTGGGGTTTTAGAACAGAAAATCTAGGCTCCAATCTCAGTACTACCACAGAAGAGACTATTGACCTGTAAACAAGGCATTCATTCATACAGGCATTTGGTAAAGCGATTGAGAACTATTATGTATCAGGTATTGTACCAGTAGTTTCCATCTCCTTATTTGTTGTGCCTGCCAAGATTATCTCATAGCAAGATTAAATGAAATTATGAAAATGTAAGCAGTTCATTAGCTGTAGAATGTTAACATTCCTATTTGTATAGTTCTTCACACAAAATACTCTTACTGACATTATTTTCTGTAATTTTTACAATTCCATACGATGGGCATTATCACTTGCATTTTACATATAAGAAACTGAAGCAGAGGCCAAATTACCTGCCTAAGGCCACACAGCTAGCAAGAGGTAGAACACAGCTCTGATGTAAATCCCATAGATGTAAAGTATTAACTAACACTTCAGACAGGCAAATACAAGACTGCATATGATTAGGTGCCAAGAGATAACATCAGCTAAGAGTTCAAAAAATAAACAAGCACTCTGGCTAGAATGGTTTGAAAGGTTTTAAGGAAAAGATGAGATCTGAGCTGGGCTTTGAAAAATGAAGCATTTGGAGGTGGTGAAAAAGTAAGGGCATTCTGAGAAAGCTCCTGGAGCTCAAAGACTAGGAATTTAGTACTGGGTAAATAAAGAGGACACTACCTGATCAAAAGCAACAGGTCAGAGTAGAAAAAAAAAAAGGAAAAAGGAAATCAGTAACAAAGCAATCTGGAAGGGAAAAGTGGCATCGGACTCAGAGGGGCCCTATATGCCCTTATACCTTAAGGTGATAGCCTATGACAGATTTCTATGGGTTCTTCAGGAGTATGTGTGTTGTGTGCTGTGCTTAGTCGCACAGTCGTGTCCAGTTCTTTGCTACACCACGGACTGCAGCCTACCAGGCTCCTCTGTCCATGGGGGTAGAATGGCTAAAAACAGTACTCCTTGAACAATGACCCCTCCCTTTCAGCAGCATTCCTCAGATTCATAGCTTTTAGAGTAAGAGCTTGGAGTCACCAATCAGACCGTCTTTAACAATTAAATTTAGAAACTTTCCAGTTTTTGTTTTTTTTTTCCCTATAATTCCTTTCACCAGATCTAGTCAAATTCTCACAATCTGGCTAAAGTGAACAACTGGGAGTTTTTCGTTAAGAATAAAGTGAGGTTTAGGATCTTAAGGAAACAAAGCTAGAGACATTCAGGGACTGCCCCAAAGTAAAGCCTGGTAGATCCGTGACCGACAATGATCATGTTGATTTATGTATCATGGAGGTATAGTCTCCAAATTAATTCCTCAAATAAAATTTTAACATAAATTGCTAAAAAAAAAAAGTCATTATTCTAAACAGTATGATACAACTGAAAAAGCACAATTTTAATCTGTTAAGAGGACAAAGGAAAGCAAAGGAATGCTTTATGGTGGTTCATATGGTTTTACTGCAGTCACGTAACTAAGGCTTTCTAAGTCAAAACGTTCTTTTTAATATTACGCTTCCCTATCGCCAAGCAGCCTCACACCCCAATCTGTTCAACGAGTCAAAAACGGTATTCTTAGAAAAAAATCTGGAAGTTGGTAACATAAAGCAAAAATAAAATGACCTGCTGAAGGTCATAGATACTCTCCGGACCTATACGGGTGATTCCCGTTCCAGGTCTCCTCTCTTTCCAGGCCAATGTGCACGGAGGGGGCGTGGCGCTCGGGTAACCGCAGCCGAATCCTCCTTGGAACAGAGGAGAAAGCGCAACCCTTTGACGGGGCGCCGCACGTGCTGCCGGGAAGAGCTTGTTCTTGCCCAAGTCTCTTACCCGGATGTCGGCAGCCGCGTGATAGCGCCGCCGCCCCCTCCCAGCTCCGCTCTTCTCACCACCTCTCCCGCACCCAGCTTGGATGGACTGCGTTACCTTTCCTAGTGCTCCGTTCATCCTTGGCGGCAGCGTGGCCCGTACTTTTGCCAGATGAAGATGGGCGCAACAAGCCGCGACCCCAGGGTGTCTGAAAACACTGACGGAACAGCCTCGACCCAGTCCGGCAACAATATCCGACCGAGACTCACTCAACTCCAGCAGCACCTTGGTTCCGGCAGCTTCTGAGACTCTGTCTAAATATCCCCTCAGTCTCCGTTCTCATTACAGCTCAAATGTCACTTTCAGTGCTACTTCTCCAGGCAAAAATAACTGCCATCTCTGTTTTGCCCCAATAATTTGCAGACAATTCTGCTATTTGACCTGCCATACTATATATTATCGGTTTCCCTGATAGCTCAGTTGGTAAAGAATACGCCCGCAATGCGGGAGACCTTGGTTCGATCCCTGTCTTGGTAAGATCCCCTGGAGAAGGGAACGGCTACCCTCTCCAGTATTCTGGCCTGGAGAATTCCATGGACTGTATAGTCCATGAGGTCTCAAAAAAGTCGGACACAACTGATCGACTTTCACTTCACTCACTATATATTAATTATTTGTTAATTTCTCTTTCCCGTGTTTAATTGCGAGTTTCTCACAGGTAACACTAGAGGTAAAAAATCTGCCTGCCATTGCAGGAGGCGCAAGAGATTCTGTTCTATACCTGGGTGGGGGAGATCCCCTGGAGAAGGGAATGGCAACCCATTCTCTTGTATTCTTGCCTGGAAAATTCCATGGACAGAGGAGCCTGGCAGGCTACAGTCCTTGGGGCTGCAGAGAGTTGGACACGACTGAGCAACTAAGCCGCAGCAGGGACTGAAATCCTGCCTGATTAATTCATTCCAGGATCTAGCAGAGGACATGGAAATCTGACTTCTAACCTCTATTTAAAAGCTGAATGACCCTAAGTGAGCCTTCCTGATATTCAGTTGCCTCATAATAATTGATAATAGCTATTTTTTAGTGAGTGGCCACTGTGTGCAGTGCATTATGCTCAGAGCATCAATTTATTCCTTATAACAAGCCTATTAGTGAGATATTATCACTGGGTTTTACATATAAGGATTTTGCGAGAGGTTAAAAAGGCTTGTCTAGGGCCAAGCAACCGAGGCAGAACTGAGTTTCAAACTGTCTCCTTTATGCAAAGTGTTTTCCCTCTGACAGACACCTTCTCACGAGATAATAATGTCACAGCACACATTCATTTACTTATTTACATATATCAACCATTTACTTAGTATGACTTTGTGCCAATCTATTGCTTGAACACTGGAAAAACAGAGATGAGTATTATACAGTCCCTGCCCTCAAGTGAGAGCTTCCCAGAAGGCGCAGTGGTAAAGAATCTGCCTGCTAATGCAGGAGGTACAAGAGACGCGGGTTTGATACCTGGGTGGGGAAGATGCTCTAGAGTAGGAAATGGCAACCCACTCCAGTATTCTTGCCTGGAAAATTCCATGGACAGAGGAGCCTGGCGGACTACAATCAACAGGGTCACAAAGAGTAGGATGCAACTGAGTATCCTACTCATGTAGAGATTAGTGAGTTTCCCCGGTGGCTCAGCGGTAAAGAACCCACCTGCCAAAGTAGGAGAGGCAGCTTCAGTCCTTAAGTAGCTGACAGAGGAATGCATCAAACTAGTTTTCTGTGCAGGAAACGCAACAACAGAGTGAAGAGACAACCAACAGAATGGGAGGAAGTGTTTCCAAATAATACATCTGATAAGGAGTTAATATCTAATATATATATATATATATATATATAGAACTCAACTTGATAGCAAGAAACCTGGCTTGAAATTTGACAAAGGATCTGAAGAGACATTTCTTATAAGACGTACAAATGGTCAATAGGTATATGAAAAAAGGCTCAAGATCACTAATCATCAGCAAAATGCAAATTATAACCACAATGAGATACCTCACACCTGAATGAATGGCTATTATCAAAGAAATAAAAAATAAGCTTTGGTGAGGATGTTGAGAAAAGGGAACCCTTGCACATTGTTGGTGGCAATGTAAATTGCTATGGCCATTATAGAAAACAGTAAAAACAGTGTATGTATAATGGAATATTACAACAGCATTTAAAAAGAAGGAAATCCTGTCATTTATGATATGGATGAAACTGAAGGACATTATGCTGAATGAAATAAGCCAGGCCCAGAAAGATAAATACTCCATGATCTCACTTATGTGGAATGTAGAACGATCAAATTCATAGAAACAGAGTATAGGATGGTGATTACCAGGGGTTGGGGTAGTGGGGATGAAGAGGAGAGATGAGGAGATGTTAGTCAAAGGGTACAAATTTCCAGTTATGTAGGATGAATAAATCTAGAGATCTAATGTACAGCATGATGACTATAGTTGTTAACACTGTATTGAATATTGGAAATGTGCTAAGAGTGTTTCAGATGCTCTCATCACACAAAAAAAAGCTGTGAGGAGGTGGTATATTAACTAGCTTGACTGTAGTAATTAATTCACTAGGTATACATATATTAAATTATATTTTATAATTTTTAAGTGGCTTGTAGACATTAGTGAGCTTCACTGGTGACTCAGTGGTAAAGAACCCACCTGGAGAGGCAACTTCAGTTCTTGGACCAGGAAGATCCCTTGGAGAAGGAAATGGCAACCCACTCCAGTATTCTTGCCTTGAAAATTCTATGGACAGAGAAGCCTGGCAGGCTATAGTCTATGGGGTCGCAAAAGTGTCGGACAAGACTTAGCAACTCAGCAACAACATAGAGATTAGTAGGGAGGCCAAGTTGTAAACAGACAATTATAAAGCAATGAGGAATTCCACTTACAGAGATACACACATAAACTCTGTATATGAAGGGAGTGCATGGTCACAAAGTCAACATCAAGTGAAATCACCAATATGCAGTCATTTTTATTGTTGCTGTTATTATTAATTTGCTTCTGTTATTATTATTTTTGTTCTTAGCAAGTAAAAGATGTAAAAACTGGTAAACATGAATGGGTCTTCAGTTAAGTCAGAGTCTGCTTTGTTGTCAGAAACCCTGCCAAGGTACCTTATCCTATTGCTTTATCAGCCCTTCCTATGCTGAAATTCTAAGGAGTTACAAAGGGCTATTGTAGGTAGTTGCTCAGCAGACTGTGGGATTGCCGGGAGCCATTATGAGAGATCCCGCCCATGACGAGGTCACGAAGAAAATACCGGACAGGCAAGGCCGTCACGGACCCCATCCACGACGAGGTCATGAGGAAAAAACCTGACAGGCAAGGCCGTCCAGGATATAAGGGACCCTCCAGGTTGGCCCTGGCCTCTACCCCACCCTGTATCCTCCCCCCTTTTCTGCTGTTGTTCTTGTTTACCCTGCTGCTATTCTTGTGTTGCCTGCAGAGAGCTCTCCTGCTCCTCTTTCATTGAATAAAGACCAACTTAAAACCCTAATTAATAAATCTCCTGGACGCTGGTACCCTATGAAGGGGCCAGGGATGAAGGAAATGCTTCTATTCAAACCCTTTTGCTGGCATTCTGGCTTGTTTGATAAATGTGTGCTCTCATTGCAAAAAATGCTCATGATGGTTCTAAACATCCTAAGCACAGCACACTAACAAAAGAAACTATTAAGCATAGGTCCCTCCGCGGGGTGAGAAAAGCTCCACAAATATTATAGCCACAAATGTGCCTAATAGAAAATAGTTTAGATAGAGATTAGCTGGTGACTTCTTGCAGGTAGTTAGCTTTTAGACTAAAAGCCTGTTTTGTGCCATATCTGCTGTTTTTGCAATCCT